CCATATATGCTCCAAATATAGATATGATAGTGGGCACTAGGATCTGAAACATGTACACCAGTTTAATAAAAGTTGAAAGGTGCGATCAAAGAGCTAAACTTCAACCAGTACAAGCACAATATTGTGAGCATTAGGCAAACACCCTTATCTAGTTTGTATGTCTCTGTAGATTTTATGTTGCTACCATAACTCATCTGGGTAATCTCCCATCAATGTTTGTAAGTGGTACTGTAGACCTCTGGAACATCTTTATTTTCTTTGATGCATTAACTATGGCACTGCACACATAACCAGGTTTGTTTTAGGCCAATTATAAAATTGAAAAATACCATGCAAACAAGGGGCTCACATTTGCCTTCTCGAGCCTCTAGTAACAATTCCCCATCTTGAAAAAGACCAGAGTCATTCCCTTTCCTACTTCTAGGGCCTATTTTGAGGTTATCTTGAGATGATTTTGGGGCTTAAGTGTCCCTGCGGCCCGGTCATCGACCAGGCCTCCACCCCAAGCAAGCAGCCCGTGACAGCTGACTAACTCCCAGGTACCTATTTACTACTAGATAACAGGGGCATCAGGGTAAAAGAAACTCTGCCCATTGTTTCTCGCCGGTGCCCGATATCGAACCTAGGACCACAGTGTTCTGTCCGCTCAGCCACCGGCTTCCATGGCGCTCCACATCATATGATGTATTGGAGTACTACGCAAGATTTAAACAGACCACGGATACACGGGGTTCACCACACCATCAGGGCTCTTGTAAACAGACGCCATTTAAAAAAAAATCGAGGGACAAATTCCCGGGTGTGAGGGTTATCTTCTTGAGGTTATCTTGAGATGATTTCGGGGCTTTTAGTGTCCCCGCGGCCCGGTCCTCGACCAGCCCTCCACCCCCAGGAAGCAGCCCGTGACAGCTGACTAACACCCAGGTACCTATTTTACTGCTAGGTAACAGGGGCATAGGGTGAAAGAAACTTTGCCCATTGTTTCTCGCCGGCGCCCGGGATCGAACCCGGGACCACAGGATCACAAGTCCAGTGTGCTGTCCGCTCGGCCGACCGGCTCCACCAGCCAACATGGTAGCCAGCTGATAATGCCTCCAATATGCCTATCACTAAATCTAGGCACAATGTTGCTATTATCACCACCACCCTGATAATGGTATAGAATATGATAAATTTATATAATAAAATGTGTAGAACATCGTTATACTAAAAAATATGGTGTATACCGTGTATATGTATTAGTGACAAGATTATGATATTCTTAAAACAATAAAACTATTGTTTTAAATGCTCTTATTGCACTGCATATACATTACAGTATTTATATATATAATTATCTACACTTTGCTTTACCCTTCTACTTGTTTCCTACTTGAATGTGCTCTCTGAAGCAATCTTCATCCCTTTCTAAACGAACTTCTATCTCCGCCCGGCTAATTGGAAACTGGTGCATGTTGTGCATAGCAAAAGCAACAGGCAGTGTTCTTCTGAATGCTTTTTGTATGCTCCTACACAAGCCTTCAACACTTTATAGTGATTGAAATAATCATTACGGGGCAGCAAACAGTACAAATTGGTGCCACCTCAGATTTTCAGTACTAAGGCATAACACGGTGCTGAAAGATAGAGAAGATGCGTTCCTTCAGAGCTTTCATTAATGACTCCCACATTTAATTTTGTTCAAGTCTATTTAACTGAAAATATTGAATAACATCTTATCGAGAAAAAAATTACTTGTCATACTACCACTGCTTCTCATCAACTGATTTTGTATCACAGATATACCTTTTAAAAGTACAAGACAACAACAACAACACTCACACATCTAAATTTTGTGGCACCACAATTTCTCATCATATCTTCTCCCTGGGCGCACAGTAATAAAGAGACTTCTCATGCTTACATAGTAATCTCCAGAGCATGGAAATTAGATGATACACATACTGGGACTAAATGTTTTATAAAATATTAAGGAAAATAATGTGGCATGGATACGTTTTCTGCAAACGTAATCAATGGAAAATTTAAGAATTTAAAAGTAGTAAACCATCTGCAATATTAAATTGCAAAATACACTAAAAATGTTTTCAACCTTACATATGGCACATGACAGTATGTTTGACATACTCGTTACTAAATGATGAAAATACGATCTAAAATAATGTATATACAAGAGTATATATATAAACACATGCTATGAAATTGAAACAATGACCAAGACTGCATCTACGCCACATAAAATCTTTGGTCGGTAATTTCCTATTCACCCGTATTGATGTGCTCAAGCACCTCCGATACACGACTTGTCCAAATATTTAGTAAGACTTCAACTTGTATTACATAGCTAACAGTGACAAAAATAAAACAATACACCTAAACTTTCTATCATATTTCCATTACAAATCCTGGTGATGATCATCATTCATACTTAGAGGGATGTAAGACGGTAACGTGTGTGGGAGTTGTGACTTTGTTAATATGCGCGTTTCATTGTTAAAGAGCTTGTTATCACTTTTTACATGTTCTATATTTTTTTCATTACTCTGTACTTTTATATCAACAGTTAATTTATCAATTTCCTCATCTTGATCAACATAATTTGGCAGGTCAGTTTTGCTAAATGATAAATCCTTCTCTTTCTTTGCCTGGGTTACAAATTGTAATTTAGTGTCGTTTTCCCCTTCTACAATATGCTTATGTGCACTATGAAAACTTTTCATTTTATCAACTCTATGTAACAATCGCTGTCTGGTTTCCTGAAAGTCTGAAGTGTTTGGGGAAACATGACAACCTAAAGTCGAAGCCATACCACACACTTTATTGTTTGTCAATACTTCTTGTGAACTTTTGTCAAGAGTTCTGGCCAGATGATTATGGGTGACAAACACTTCATCACTTTTTATATCCAGTGCTCTTTCCTCCCCGTCTCTCTCCCTTGCTTCTTCTGTATAATCTCTACTAAACTCCGATTCTTCTTGCGTTTCTTTATCTTCAACCAACGACATTACCTGGAAATATCTTTGCTTGACAGCTTTAGTTGTTTTTCCTCTTGATTTATTCCCATTTCTTTTAACTTTTGGTCCTCCAAGTACATCTCTGCTTTCACTTATTTTTCTTTTCTTGTGCCGAGAAACAGATGGCTGCATCTTTTCTCCAATAGGTGGTTCCAAAGAAACAGATTTTCTCTTCTTGCCTCGTCCTTTGCGATGAGACAGTGGACAAGACACACCTCTTGGACACTTACCTGTTCTGCTGAACTCTTCACATACCAAAATATGCTGCTTCTTACACCTCATGAATGTCCTCATGAATGCTTCATATATGTATGAAGGGGCCTCAGTATTGAGTGAGACACCAAGCCTGACGCACGCAGCATGAGCTCACAGCACTGCTGTTCAGCTTGTGACCACAGCATCGCCTAAAAATGCCATAATATACATGTTCTTGCTATTATTTAGTGATGATATTATTACAGAAGACCCCTGACTGTGATAAAACTGACCAGGGTTCTGATAATTGCAGGAATATGGTGATATTTAGCACTGTGCTCCATGGAGGGAGGAGTAATGCTGTGGGAGGGAGGTGGTGGCGTCGTCTTCTGACTGTGTGTGGCCACCTTTTATTGACTGCACTCACCATATCAGTTAGTGGTTCGCTATGGTGAACACAAATGAAGATACTTATATATAACGTGTGAATAGTGTAATAACAGCAAAAGGAGTAGGTTGGGAGCCGCCATTTTGGTGAGGGAGGTGCATCATCTGCACGACTTATCATGTTGTTTACTGGTGACCACTAAGGTCTTTGGGCACCATACCAGCTTACTTGTACAAGTATGGTGAATAAAACAGGTAGATACTCCTACGGGCTCACCATAGCTCGTGCTATTTGGAACTTGTTCCAAGTAGCGAATCTTAAACAACAACAACAGGTAGATACTTATATATAATGTGTGTATATAGTGTAATAACATCACAAACAGTATTGTTGGAGGAGAAATATTAGTGTGTCTGGCCTTGAGGGCGGCCGCCACCAGCTGACTGTGTCAGTAGCTACGTCTTTGTGCCTTTACTCACCATACAAGCTTAGATGTACAGTTATGGTGAACAAAACATGTAAATACTTATATATAATGTCTGTATATAAAAGCAAAAACAGTATGGTGGGAGGAGAATGGTGGTGAGTCAGATGAGGTGAGGGAGGGAGTGGCAGCCAGTGGTGGGCTGCCACTGGCTGCCACTGCCACTCAGCATACCAACTTAGTGGTTCGTTATGGTGAACACGAATGTAGATACTTATATATAACGTCTGTATATAGTTAATAAAAGCAAAAACAGTATTGTGGGAGGAGAATGTGGGTGAGTGAGGTGTTGAGGAAGGGCGTGAGTGGCTGGCTGGTATACGGCGGTCACTCCTCGTTACTTTTTGACTCATAATAGCAACTTAGTGGTTCGTTATGGTGAACAAAACCTGCAGATACTTATATATAACCTGTGTATATAGTGTAATAACTGACAAAGTATTTGTTCACTGTTTGATGAACATAATAATTGAGTCAACAATATGCACACCATATTTTTGAGTACAGCGATGATTCACACATTATATTACAGTATATAAATATATTAGACTACACACTATTGAATAATATTACAGCAAAAAAACTACAAAAAATCAATCAGAGACATTGAAATAATTAGGCAATTATCTCTTTGTGGCCACTCCTGCCTGACAGCTGGCTAGCAACAGACCGTCTGGGATGCACGCTCAGTCAGCGCCTGTTTTTTGCCAGAATTCTCCACCCTATAGCGGGCAATATATGCCACTTAAGATTTTTTTATTATTTGTCCCATGATCAGTGAACACAAATTAACAGGTTTAGAAGAAATTTTTTTTTTTTGGTATGCGCCTGTGGGTGACAAATGCTATTTCTTAAATAGCCTGGCGCCTTACAAGGGTTAAACAGGGACATTAATTCACCATAAGCTTAATATACACACCTGCAAACACACAAACTTCACTTTTTCATCAAGTGGCGGGCCACCAGAGGTGAGAGTTGCCCCACACAGCTGCCAACCATCCGGACTCTCACGTAATTGTTGCAGATATTCAAGTGCCTGTAGACAAGAAATAGAATAAAGAACAGCAATATAACATACCTTTTAACTCTTTTGACATAATAATTTAAATGTAGTCACGTAATTCCCCTGTATAGCAGTGGAAAGCTGCCTCTTCCTCCACCCTTCAACACCTTCATGTTACAGAACACCTCTAAGACAGCCAGACAGATCACCTTCATGCTACAGAACACCTCTAAGACAGCCAGACAGATCACCTTCATGTTACAGAACACCTCTAAGACAGCCAGACAGATCACCTTCATGCTACAGAACATCTCTAAGACAGTCAGACAGATCACTCTCATGCTACAGAACACCTCTACGACAGCCAGACAGATCACCTTCATGCTACAGAACACCTCTAAGACAGTCAGACAGATCACCTTCATGCTACAGAACATCTCTACGACAGCCAGACAGATCACCTTCATGCTACAGAACATCTCTAAGACAGCCAGACAGATCACCTTCATGCTACAGAACACCTCTACGACAGCCAGACAGATCACCTTCATACTACAGAACACCTCTAAGACAGCCAGACAGATCACCTTCATACTACAGAACACCTCTAAGACAGCCAGACAGATCACCTTCATGCTACAGAACACCTCTAAGACAGCCAGACAGATCACCTTCATGCTACAGAACATCTCTATGACAGCCAGACAGATCACCTTCATGCTACAGAAAACCTCTAAGACAGTCAGACAGATCACCTTCACGCTACAGAACACCTCTATGACAGCCAGACAGATCACCTTCATGTTACAGAACACCTCTATGACAGCCAGACAGATCACCTTCATGTTACAGAACACCTCTACGACAGCCAGACAGATCACCTTCATGCCACAGAACACCTCTAAGACAGCCAGACAGATCACCTTCATGTTACAGAACATCTCTACGACAGCCAGACAGATCACCTTCATGCCACAGAACACCTCTACGACAGCCAGACAGATCACCTTCATGCCACAGAACACCTCTATGACAGCCAGACAGATCACCTTCATGTTACAGAACACCTCTACGACAGCCAGACAGATCACCTTCATGCTACAGAACACCTCTAAGACAGCCAGACAGATCACCTTCATGCCACAGAACACCTCTACGACAGCCAGACAGATCACCTTCATGCTACAGAACACCTCTAAGACAGCCAGACAGATCACCTTCATGCCACAGAACACCTCTACGACAGCCAGACAGATCACCTTCATGCTACAGAACATCTCTACGACAGCCAGAAAAATGTCTGGGGTACCTCCATCTCGGACATTGTTTTTTCCTTAGCAAGTACAGTGGCCCTTCCATTTACGAATTGAATCCATTCCCAGAGACGGTTTGTAAGCCAAAAATTCGCAACCCAAAACAAATTTTCCAATAAGAAATAATGTAAACTGAATTAATCCGTTCCACACTCCCAAAAATATTAACTTAAAAATAGATTTCATACCTAATTCACACAAATACTTAGCACTATACAGTATTATGTACACGTTATAGCTTACCTTTATTCATGATTCTTGTTGGCGTATGGAAGATGGTGACGACCCCCTCCTCGGCAGGAAAGGTGTTAATGTTTGAAAGGGGAGTCCCTTTCCACTATAACATCAGGCAGTGATGACTTCTCTGGGGTACTCTCTTTTCTACATTTTGCCTGCTTACCTACTTGATATGGTCTGCTTAATGGGGTTCTGGGAGTTCTTCTACTCCCCAAGCCCGGCCTGAGGCCAGGCTTGACTTGTGAGAGTTTGGCCCACCAGGCTGTTGCTTGGAGTGGCTCGCGGGCCCACATACCCACCACAGCCTGGTTGGTCCGGAACTTCTTTTAGAAAAAAGTCTAGTTTTCTCTTGAAGATGTCCACAGTTGTTCTGGCAATATTTCCACTAGCACACCACTAGGACCTGCTTGTGGCTCACCGCTTGTTTTACTCACTAAAACTTTTTCCATAGAGACTTGTTTTTTCCCTATGTTGTAACACTTGTCTGTAGTGATACATCACAGTGTCATTAAAAAAGTTAAGGCAACGGCCCACTACATCTTTCTCTGGGCGAGTCGTTTCAACAAAAGTTTGCATTTCTTCCCATAATCTACACCACTTCTAAATTGTTGAGAAAATTTACCTCATGGATAAATGCAGGAACATTCTGACTGTTTTAGGATCTTAATTGTACAGTTGGGTTCATTCTCGACTCACAATAGGGAATCCCAGGTTCGAATTCTGGGTGGGACAGAAATGGTTGGGCACATTTCTTTTCACCTGGCAGCAAATAGGTATCTTCTTGAGGTTATCTTGAGATGATTTCGGGGCTTTTTAGTGTCCCCGCGGCCCGGTCCTCGACCAGGCCTCCACCCCCAGGAAGCAGCCCGTGACAGCTGACTAACATCCAGGTACCTATTTTACTGTTAGGTAACAGGGGCATAGGGTGAAAGAAACTCTGCCCATTGTTTCTCGCCGGCACCTGGGATCGAACCCAGGATCACAAGTCCAGCGTGCTGTCCGCTCTGCTGACGGGTTCCCCTACCTGGGGTACCTAGAAGCTAGTCAACTGTTGAGGGGTTACATCCTGGAGAAGGTCAGTAACACCAGCTTTGCCTTGGAGGGACGTCGATACAAGTCTCAAGTATATATACAGTATACACAGGCTGCCTGTCCCAAACAATTTTGATTATATGGTCCACATCTAGTACCTATAGAAGAGTTGTGACATTTCCTCTAAATTGCAATAAGATACAAAAGAGAACCAGGTTAACCAGCAAGAAAGTAACATTTAACTAAAGCACTTGAAGCATAACTTACCCGTGTGTGTTGCTGTTGGTTATCTGGAGCCCAAAGGCCTTGCAGCATCTGGGCATCCATCATCCTTGGAAGGCCAGCACAAGTGCTTTTTCAAATGAGCCGCCGCCTCATGAACCTTCTCACAACTTCTTATAACATCAGTCTGAAAAAGACCCAAAT